TCAATCTCTCCATTTCTATCTGAGAGGGGATTGATGTTGTGTTACCCACAGAAACAGAAAAGCCTTATGGGAGGCAAGAGAGTGCCCATTCACCTTAGGAGTTAAGAATCTCCTTCTCACCTTTTTCTTACAACTATGTTCAGCTCCTGTAAGTCCTAGACAATGTGGGACCCATGAGGGGGTATGCTATAGCCCCTAAGGAACTGTTTGAGGTTTTTCATTTATATCTGGAAGTTAGGGTGGGACTAGGTATCAAAGGCCTGGCATAACTGTGGAAGGAGCAAGAAGTTGGATCAAGCCAAATGTAAAGGTATGGGGGCAATAAAACCGAGATCCTCCTACACTGATTATTGCAAGACAAATTAGAGCAAAAGGTCTCTGACAGTTTGATTTGTTGAATGAAACATGAACAAAATGATATTTTATGAGTTGACTGACAAGCCCTGTGGTGGCAGTTGATGACACTGTATTTACTGCTTTAATCATGGAAAAGGCAGCATGTGTTCTTGCTGGGAGATACAATTTAGATATGAATGTGCTTTTCCTAGACACAGTAATTCTACCTACCTAGCGTATTTGGACATAGAGAATGCCTCTTTCACCACCATAGTTGTCTATATATACTGTCAATCAACTTGCTTTGTCAATCACCTTGCTTTGTCTTATATACTGTCAGTCAGCTTGCTTTGTCAATCAACTTGCTTTGCTGTTCAGTGGGCCTAAGCTCTTCACTGTACTACTATGTTCCCTGCTATCTTGAAGCAAGTGACTTAATAGAACACAGTTGAATGGTTTTTGAGGACTTGGCAATACTTAGTCTGTTTCTGATGGTATATCCAAAATATCACAGACAAAACACTTTATGGACACAAAATTATTGTTCATATCTTGGCAACTTGGAATTCTAAGAAAGATGTTAAAAAATGAAGTGTCTGGTGAGGGATCTCTCTTTCATAGTTGCAACACGGTTGCTGTATTCTCACATGGGGAAAAGGTCCAAACTGATATCCCCAACCCCTTTTATAAGAGCACAAATTCCACTCATGCTTATCACCTACATATCTCTCAGAGACATCCCATGTTATCACCATGTTAGAAACTTGGATTTCAACATGAGTTTTGAGGAACATAAACTGTAGCAAGTAACTTTCAATGGAAAGCTATAGAATGGTTCCCCAGAAGGTTGTACATACTCTGAATCCATATCAGATGTAGCTTGCTATTTCTTCATAATTTGGATTAAGGGTAGAAATGATTAGATCATTGTATGTACTATCATTGGAAGACATTCATGCTTGCTTTGTGGGAATGAGGGAATGAGTGAGAGCTCTCAAGACTACACTGGTTATTACAAGAGTGGGATGTTAGCAGAACCAGAAAGACAAACATGGAATGTATTCGCTTATAGGTGGCTATTGGCTGTCAAGTAAGGGGCAATCATGCTACAGTCTACAGACCTAAGTAACAAGAAGCGTTCAAGGGAGGATGCATGGGAATAGAACAGATTTTACAGGTGGACTGAGGGTGAGTGTGTATGGGAACAGAAGAGATCAGGCAGAGTGCGGTGATATGGAGGGAGAGAGTACTAGGAAAGATGATTGGAATTGGGGACACTTGGAGGGCAAGGTAGAAACCTAATGTAATGGAAACTCCCTGGGAGTCTACAAGGGTGACCCTAGAGAAGCCACCTAGTAATGGGGGATACAGAGCTTGAACCAGCCATCTTCTTTAACCAGGCAAGGTTTCTAGTGGTGGGACTGGGACATCAGTTTAATTATAAAACCTTCTGCCTACAATTTGTTCTGCCTGCAAGATGTGCTGGGGTAATGGTGGTCCAAAACTTGTGGGAGTAGCCAATCAATGACTGGCCCAACTTGAGGTACACACCATGAAAGGGAGCATATGCCTGACACTGCCTGGATGGTGAGGAACCAGAGGTTGGACAACCCAGAGACCAAGGATAGAACCAAACATGACTGGTTAAAAAAAGATTCCTAATGATACTCTGCTATACTCTTAGATTGGAGCTTAGCATAATTGTCACCCAGAGAGCTTCATCCAGCAACTGATGGGAACAGATGCAGAGACCCACAGCCAAGCATCAAGTAGAGCTGGAAGAACCCCACAGAAGAAGGGGAGGAAGGATTTTAGGAGCCAGAGGGGTTGAGGACACCTTGAGGACACAGTCCACAGAATCAACTAATCAGGGCTCATGGGGGATCACAGAGATGGAAGTAACAATCATGGAGCCTGTATAGGTCTGAGCTTGGTCCCCTTCACGTTGTGGTTGTTCAGCTTGGTGTCTTTGCGGGACTCCTAACGGAGTGTGTGCTGGGGTGTCTCCGACTCTTCTGCCTGAGCTTAGTATCCTTTTTCCCCTACTGGGTTGCCTTGTTCAGTCCTGATATGAGGGGTTTTGCCTAATCTTATTGTAACTTGTTATACTGTGTTTGGTTGATATCCCTGGGAAGCCAGTTCTTTTCTGAAGGGAAATGGAGGATGAGTGAATCTGAAGGAGGGGGGAGTGGCTAGGGAAGGAATGAGAGGGGAAACTGGTCAGGATGTAATGTCTGAGAGGATAATTTTAAAAAAAGAGTGGGCTATTAGAAAGCAAGGTTGTTTTTCTCATATTCCTCTAGTATTCTCTGTATCCCTACCTCATGTGTGTACATGTGTGTGCATAAGCTGTAGAAACACATGAAGTCTTAGTGCTCACAGATAAGCACTGGAGAAACCAGGATGTCATACAGGCGGGGTTTTCAACAGAAGAGATTTGCAACTGTTTTCCGCCCAGAAGGCTGGAATGGATGTTTTTGTTACCTGGTGATCTTTGCTACCTTGCAGGTGTCACCCAAATCCCCCAGACTCCAGAGCATTGTTTCTCAGTCAATAGAACCCATTTTATGACAGAGGTCCTGTGTACTTTACAAAAGAGTTTACTAACATGCTTACTACAAACCCTTCCCCTGTAGACCGTTATACTGAGCATTGATTCTCAGTCAGTAGAACCCATTCTTATCGAAGAGGTCACAGGAACTTTGCAGAAGACTTGAACTTTGCAAAGAAGTTTCAATGTAATTCATGACTTAATATATTTATTATGCCTATGCACATATGTACTCATATATAAAATATTTAGAGCAATGTTTGGAATATAGTCAAGACTCTATTAAATATTATATAACATAATAACAGTTTATCTGGCCTTTTCTTTTGTTTGCCTATTTGACAGATGGCAATAAACAGAAAGAACACTTAGAATTAAGTCAGATGGAAATCAAAGTGTCTAAAGTTTGTCCACAGATTCATGAACTAAAGAAGTTCTCAGTGTGCCCCTCACTTCTCCTGAGTATGGAACAATAATGAGCATGGGCTATAGTCAGGGTTGCCTCTCCACACCCAGAGGTTCTTCTCCTGAGTATGGAACAATAATGAGCATGGGCTATAGTCAGGGCTGCCTCTCCACACCCAGAGGTTCTTCTCCTGAGTATGGAACAATAATGAGCATGGGCTATAGTCAGGGCTGCCTCTCCACACCCAGAGGTTCTTCTCCTGAGTATGGAACAATAATGAGCATGGGCTATAGTCAGGGCTGCCTCTCCACACCCAGAGGTTCTTCTCCTGAGTATGGAACAATAATGAGCATGGGCTATAGTCAGGGCTGCCTCTCCACACCCAGAGGTTCTTCTCCTGAGTATGGAACAATAATGAGCATGGGCTATAGTCAGGGCTGCCTCTCCACACCCAGAGGTTCTTCTCCTGAGTATGGAACAATAATGAGCATGGGCTATAGTCAGGGCTGCCTCTCCACACCCAGAGGTTCTTCTCCTGAGTATGGAACAATAATGAGCATGGGCTATAGTCAGGGCTGCCTCTCCACACCCAGAGGTTCTTCTCCTGAGTATGGAACAATAATGAGCATGGGCTATAGTCAGGGCTGCCTCTCCACACCCAGAGGTTCTTCTCCTGAGTATGGAACAATAATGAGCATGGGCTATAGTCAGGGCTGCCTCTCCACACCCAGAGGTTCTTCTCCTGAGTATGGAACAATAATGAGCATGGGCTATAGTCAGGGCTGCCTCTCCACACCCAGAGATTCTTGCTTGCAGGGTTTTGCCTCCCTTCTGTGCCTGGTTATTTTATTTTTGATTGGGTGATGAACATCGCTTAAGAAAGACAGCTTCCAGGAATGCCTGGAGACTTAATAGTGGTATCTTCTAGAGATGATCTTCGATACCAGCGACATCAGATCTTTAAAATCCCATCTCCAATTTTCAGATGCCTTAAAGTTGGCTAAGGGGAACATACTTCTTGTTCACCTTTTTGCCGAGGGTCAACCTTTTTAGGTTCCCAAGTCCAAGGGACAAATGAGTTCTGTAATCTTGATGATTATTAGACCCAGATTTTGTCCCTCTAGGAAAGGGGAGTCTCCCTGTCTCCTCTTTTAGAGCATTGAACAACCCTAAGGTAGCTCTGAAGGCAGACATCTCCTGTCTCTGAGATCTATCTCGTGAAACCGTTTGTCCTCCACGTCCATCCTAGCACCCCATTCCACATCCTGGTACTTCTCACAGATCCCTGTAGTACCTCTGTGATGTAATCCTGAATCTAGCTTCGTCCCTTACCATCTTTTCTCACACTGTAACTAGTATATGTTTCATAAACACAGATCCTTATGGTCTGGCCATAGTGACTTTTCTCTTAGGTCTTCTCATCACAGGGTGTTTGCACTGTGTTCTCTGACTACAAGGAGCCCCTTTCACGTTTCTCCCTTCTTGTTACTCATCTTTACATTTCATATCAATCTTTGACCATTATAGGTGGCCACTCATGACCACTGTATGTTATGTTATAAGCACCCTGAGGGCACAGACCCCTGTTCTGGCTCACTGATGTATACTCTGTAATTTTGAACAGTGCCTGGCATTAGTGGTACTCAGTTCTGCTGTTGAACGAGTGAGTGCATGAGCAGGTGCCTTCCAGAAATGATACAGTTCGGATTCTTTTCTCTGCTTCTTTTTATTAGGTTTCTACATTTGAGAATTCGCCACTCACATTTCATTTCACAAGTTAATACCACATAGCTAGGGGGGCTGTATGTGGTGGGCCTGGGATGTGGTGTGAATTTCTCACAGACAAGCTGGTGGTTTCCTTTGCTTGCAGCTTGAGCTGAGGAGGAAGGGACCTTTTTGCAGCCACCACTGTGAAATACTGAGTGCACAGACTCCAGGTCCCATTTAATTAAAGAAAGAGAGGATGGGGGTGGGGTGGGGTGGGATGGATGATATTCCTAATTATTTAGCATGAGTAGTTCCCAGAACAGAGGAGATGGGGTAGCGATGGAGTCTAAAGCCCAGCCCTCTTTGCCTACACCTCACCACAGAGTCAAGTCACACCACTCTCTAAGTTAATCTTTCCCTTCTATGGCTGTGTGTGTGGGGGTCTTCTTCCATTCTCCCACAGAATGTTATTTCATCTTCTTCCACCACACTTTTAACAGATCGGTTTTAGATTTCCCCTTCAGTTCTTCTTAGCAGACACCAACTCTTTTGTTCTTACTGAAAATCTATTTAAAACTTCTTCCATCGTGCTATACAATACACATTTTTTAATTGAAAAGCATTTGGAAAATGAACACACACAGGAAAAACAAACAAATAAGGAGATGCCTAAGCTATCACTCCCCCCAAGCAACCAGTATTAATAGTTTAACATATTTTCTTTCATTTTTTCACACATATTTCTTTTAAAAATATATATTTCATATTAATTGAAGGTCAGAGAAGCATTGACTCTGCTCCCTCTGCTTTCCTCTCCCCATTTCTTCCCATCCTTCTCCCTTCTTAGTTTTTTTTCCTTTCAACATCTCGTTTATCTCAGGTTGACATGGAACTAGTTAGCAGAGGACTCTGAATTTCTGATCACCTTGCCAATACCTCTGGAGGGCAGCTATTACAGTCACAAACTACGACACCCAGTTATGTGGTGCTTGGGCTGTGTACTGCCTGGTTTTGTGTGTCAAATTGACACAAGCTAGAGTCATCAGAGGAAATGCCTCCATGAGACCCAGCTGAAAGGCATTTTCTCATTTAGTGCTCAATGGGGGAGGGCCCAGAAAGCAGCTTGAGCAAGCTCTGTAAAACAAGCCAGTAGGCAGTTCCCCTTCATGACCTCTGCATCAGCTCCTGCCTCCAGAATCCAGCCCTGTTTGAGTTCCTGTCCTGACTTTCTTCAATGATGAAAAGCAATGTGAAAGAATAAGCCAAATAAACCCTTTTCTCCCCAGCTTGCTTTTTGGTCATGGTATTTTGTTGCAGCAATAGAAGCCCTAACTAAGACAGGCTGGAAGCCAGGGTTTCACACAGGGCGTGTCTTTCAATAGAGCACATTCATTTCTACATGCTACTTTTCCCACTTGTGATACTTCTAGCTTTATAAGAACTGTGTGGCCTGTCATTTTGTTGTTGTTTTTGAGACAGGTTTCATTATAAAGTCCAGGAGACCTCAAATGCATAGTCCTTCTGTTTCAGTCTCCTGGGTGCTAAGATTATAAGCATGTGACACCACAAACTATAATTTTTTTAATTTTAGAAAAATATAAATTTGTAACAACAATAGTAAATAATAATATTATTGACAAAATCTTCCAATATTGCTGGCTTGAAATTTACTATGTAGTCTGGCCTCAAACTTGTGGCTAGCCTCCTGCCTCTGCCTTCTAAATGTTCTGGGACTAAAGGTAGGCAGACCTGGCTATAAAACCTCTATTTTGTAAGATTTAACTTAATTTCATTATTTTATGTATGTAGACATTTACTGGCACGCTATGTCTATGTACCATGTGTATGCCTGGTACCCATGGAAGTCGGAAGACAGTATTAGATGCTCTGGAGTTGGAGTTACTGATGGTTGTGAACCACCTCGTCAGTGCTGGGGATTAAACCCAGGTCCACTGGAAAATCAGCCAGAGCTTTTTTTTGTCTGTTTGTTAGTTTTGGTTTTTGAGACAGGGTTCCTCTGTATTGCTTTGGAAGCTGTCCTGAACCTTGCTCTGTAGACCAGGTTGGCCTTGAACTCACGGAGATCCACCTGCCTCTGCCTCCCGAGTGCTGGGATTAAAGGTAAGCATCCAGCCAATGCTGAGTCATCCCTCCTGCTCCTTACCCTATTCTCTTAAAGTTGTTGCTCATTTAACTTTATTTATGGGCTCTCTCTTAGGGAGTTCCCAGAATTTGTCTATTGCAAATTGCAACATAATGCATATTTTTGTATGTGAATTCCACAATGTCTTTAACAGGATCAAATTACAGAATTGTTATTACCTGGACAACCTTGAAGCCCTGGCTGCACTGTAAATAGTTCTCTCCCCCAAGTGCTGTTATGTGCCCTTTCCCTCTCCTATACGAGAACTGTGGGGGAGCCCTTCCCTAATACATACTGATTTGATTTAAATACTACTTTATTTTTTAAATTAGAGTAATAAATACAGTGATCTACAACATTTAATAACATTTATATCTGTGCCTTGGGCCAGCTCAGCTTTTGTTTTTTCTCAAGCCATAAGCCACAACTCTTTTTTTTTTTTTTTGGTCTTCCTCTTTTTTCTCTTGTATATTTGTTTCTGTTTTTGCTTCCATCTTATATTTGGGAATGTTCCCTTATTCTAAATACTTTTTCTTTGTAGAAACATGCTTCTTTTTTAAACATGTATTTGCCTACTTGATTTATATCCTTCAATCCTGGAATCCTGGTTCCCTTTTAGCATTTTCATTCAAGATATATAAGTTATGGTTCTGGGACCACATCAAATGCACACACACACACACACACACACACACACACACACACCTGCTGTTCCCAGGTCTCTTTCATAACACCAAACAATAAAACGAGCCCTATGGGGTAGGGAGTATATCTATTTTACCTAGAAGACTAACCTAGCATGAGTTCTCAATACATATTTGTGGAAAAAGATTAAACACCTATAAAGGTTTTCAAGTCATCAAACCCCAGACTCCCTCCCCTGACTCCAGGTCTATGGCTAGATCCAAAATGTGTGTTCAGGCTATTTCTCTGTTGAGAAAGATGGGCTTCTTTATAGGCCCAGGGCTTAGGCTTTTCCCCGGGAGCAGGCAAATAAAAGTGAAGTAGAGGTAAGGGAGTCCTCGTCTTTCACCACACACTTTGAGTGATGGACACTCAATGGGGATGGTGCCAGCTAAACACAGGTATTTATTTGTATTTTCTGTCCTTGTGCATTTTGACCTGCACACCCATACGGGTCTTCTGTGGCTCCCTGTAAAGAAGTCCCTGAAGCAATCAAGCAAGAGCAGAGTGTGTTGGAATAATCCATGCAGGTTTAACACAGTACCTGGCACATAGCTGGTGATTCCATTAATAAATCAATATAGCATTTCTGTCAGTTAAATATGCTTGTGCTGGGTATGTCTGTCTGTCCTGGCAAGCAGTTTCCTGGTATAGTTCTGATCTCAAGTTCTGGAAGTGGGGACAGGAAACTAAAGAGATCCTGTCCTGGGACGTTAATTAAGATTTACTTACATGTCAAGGCATTTCCTGACCTTTTTCTTAGGTCTAACTGACAGATTCACAGTCACATTTGCAGAAAGGAATACAGACTCTGGGTTTTGAGGAGAGTTTTCAGCAGTGGGAATGAACCCCAGAGTTCAAAGCAGCATACAAGTAGCTTATTCCAGAAGGAAGTTGTATTTGTTGATCTTCTTGTTTTAGGCCCAGAATCCTGACAGACACAATTCATGTGGGCAGAGGGTTATTTTAGTTTTGAGTTCCTGAGGTTGAAATACATTATCAGAAGTCGTGATGGCTGAAGGGGCTTAGTCTGTGTTGGAAGGAGTTTGCAATGGCTGCTTCTTTTTTTTTTTGTAAGTTTTTTTGTTTTTGTTTTTATGAAACAGGGTTTCTCTGTATCGTTTTAGAGGCTGTCGGTCCAGCCTGGCCTCGAACTCACAGAGATCCACCTGCCTCTACCTCCCGAGTGCTGGGATTAAAGGCATGCGGCACCACCACCCGGCACAATGGCTGCTTCTTTACATCATGGTGGGCAGGACTCTGCCTGATGTAGAAGCAGAAAGCTCAACCGAGAATGAATACCACCTTCAAGGCCTGCCTCCTGGAGACCCACCGTTTCCAGGCAGGCCTTGTCTTCTGTAGGTTCTGTAGCATCCCTGAATAACACCATCAGTTGTCCAAGGTCTGAACACCAATGGTTGAGACACATGAGCCTGTGGAGCACATTTTACACTCAGTCTATACCATGCCCTCCTTGGCTCACATGGGCTCACGATCATCGCACAATGCAAAACGCACTCCCTGGAACTTCAGGAGTGCCCGGCATAACAGCCCAATGTCCAATGTCTTTCATGAGATGGAAGGCAAACTCTTAACTGTGAGCCCCTATAAAATATAAAAATACATGCGTACAATGTACAAGGGCAGAGAAAAAATTCACATTGCAAAAGGGAGGAACGGGACACAGCAAAGAACCAGTAGACCAAAGCTAGGTCAAAGCCCAGCAGGGAAGCGTAACCCTGAGGCTCCGTGTCTGAGCATGGATGCGTGGTGACGTCACGTGTGCTGCAATGGATTTGGGGAGACCTGCTTCCATGGCCATGTTCTTTTCTTGAGTATATTCCTTGCCTGGAGTTTTCTTGGCCGATGCTTCATGTTCCTGGCAGCTACCCTGCAACTTAGGTTTTGCCTTCACAGTTTTATGCAACTCAGAAAGACCAACCTCGATATAGGTCGCCTGGCTTTCCCCGCACTGGAACCTTGGTGCAAACCTCGGTGGCTTCTAGCTTTAACACTCTGCCTGTTTGCCAAGCCACCAGCATATGCACATTGCTAAGTTCTGCTGCTGGCCCAGGACAGACCCACACCCCCTTGAGTCAGGGATTCAGCAGGCTCTGAGAAACTGTGCAGGTGACTCTGGAGAAACACTTTCCCAGTCTGATGTGACGAAGTAGGACACTCTGTGTTCAGATATTCTTCCTTTTGAATGAAAACTTTCAAATGGGCTTTTCGGTTTGTATATTGGAGTTCTTGATAGATAAGGACTCACTCTCAGAGCGCCTTTTCTATTGTCCTAGAGCGGAGGCTGCGGTTATTCTCTATGGGTGCTTATCTCTTTAACTGTTACAACTGCTTTGTGATGCCCAGTTTCTCCACAACTTTAAATTCACGCTCTTACCAAACTGCATGCTTTCTTCTTCTTCTGGTTCCTTTTCTTTGTTTTGATTTCTTACTACAAATATGAATAAAAACTGGGAGTATGGCTGTGTCACAGCCTAAATGTTGTATTGTCTTGAAAATTTCTCCATTAAATGGAACACGAATGGGCACTATCCCAATCCCCAAAGTCACTATTCTCTGAAACGTCTTGAGCCTGGCCTCCACCATCTGTACGAAAATACATGGGTTTGGGGGGGCATTTGCATTCAATCTATGGTGGAAGTTTCCATTTCTGCTGAGAATAGTGAATTTTCTTTGCATTTTTCTGGAGTGAGAAGAGAGAATACTGCTGTCTAGATAATATTTTCAAAGCTTAATTGCCTTGGTATATGTAGCATTGTAGGCAAGGAGTTGGGACTCTTCACCTGTGGGCAGACATGGGGAAGAACATTGGATGTGAGTAGAGCTCTGGATCTCTAATAGAAGACACTGTTTCTGAAGATACCCAACCCATAGCTGTTTCATTTACAGTCCTCCTGTTTACTTTTAGCTTAGAGATATTATTCTATAGGGAAGTATACTTATCTTTCTCCATGCCTCACAAACTGAACAGTCTTATAATAAATTAATAAATGTTTTTGTCACTAAGAAAATCATCTTCAGCATCCATTGTGGAATAATCCTTCTGTACACTGTGAATACGTGTTATTCTCATTGGTTGATAAAGAACTGACTGGCCTATAGCTGGGCAAGAAGACACTGAGTGACAGAGCCAGACTAGGAGGATGCTGGGAAGGAGGGCAGAGTCTGGAGTCACCAGCAAACACAGTGAGAAGCAAGATGGGCATGTATACTGAAAAAAGGTATCAAGCCATGTGGCAAAGAATAGATAAGAAATATGGGTTAATTTAAAATGTAAGAGTTAACTACTAACAAGCCTGAGCTATTGACGGAGCTTTTGTAATTAACATTAAGTTTCTGTGACAGTTATCTGAAAACTGGTAGGTGGGAGACAAATATCTACCAGCAAGCATTTTTATGTTTTCAATTGTTTTGGAGAAGAAAGGGAAACAGACAAGAAGGTGTCCCTGTTTCTGTGAAGCACCAGTGGTGAAGAGACAAGTCATACATCTTGTCATAGTTGAGGTTTGGCAGGGGGGATGCAAAGCAGATGCAATTTAGCCAGAGCAAGAAAATCTCCCTCCTCCCGTTACCTGCTCCTCCTCCTGAACATAACACAAGCTGTAGGCAGCCCTTCCCCTCATCCGTGACTAGACAGAATCCTCCTGATTTTCTTTATCAATACAACCTGGAATCCCCCCTCCCACTCTGCTTGTTCCAGGTCACCAATTTGGACTTCTAAAACACAGTTTGCATCTATTTCTTATAGTTTTGGGTAATCTCAAGCAAAACCCAGAAAAACATGTCTAGGTACAGGCGCAAAGCTAAATGGCCTTGACACCACGTCTGGCAGGGAGTGAGGACTCTCCACCTGCAGGTAGACATGAGGGTCTGGCTGGGGCCTGGTTTAACACCAGGGACTGAAAATCCCAATGAAATGTGAATCTGAACAGGAGCCAGGGAAGGGGATCAACAGTGAAGATGGGAGTCAGCCTTGAAGGTCCTTACCGCTTTGGGGATCTGCACAGTGGAGTAGAGTGTGTTTGCTGCGTCCTCTTCCAGACCCCTTTCCTAGTGATAAACACACACAGTGAGCACCTGACTTCTGAATCACATACACAAGTCTGGGGAGACTCGCAGTCCAGAGGGAGCAAAGGATATGTAAGAGAACATAGAAGAAAAAGAAGGTTCTGGGACAGGCATGGAAGTTCTCTTGTTAGTAACCGCTATAACAATGCCTATTAATCAGTTTTTTGTTTTAAAGAAAGCCATTGCTTTTTATTCATAGTTTGTTCATTTTCTTTATTTCATTATTTTCTGTATTATGTTTCAATGAATTTCAAAATATGTTGAGATATATCTCATGAACTATGAGTCTCCTAGGGTGGCTAAAGGCTAATATGAAATTGTAGTGTCAGTGCTGTAAACAGACTTATCCAGTAGTTCCTGGGCTCTTGGGAAACAGTAAGGATGCCCAATGAACCAAAATAAAGCATTGCCAAGATCAAAGACCCATGACTGAAGTTTAAGTTTATTTCCTGACCACGCAGGGCAGCCTTGCAGTTTCTTTGGGTGTAACCTGAGCAAGAGAAGAAGGGGAGGGTGACGACGTGACAAATTTTGACTTAGTGAGTTGAGTAGGCTACAAAGCAGACCAGTTTCCAACCTCCTGGGAGGAAGTAAACTTTAAAAAGAAGAGGTGATTCACGTAGCTGCTCACATGAGTGTCACAGGTTAGGGGCAGAACTGAGTGTTCTAAAGCTCACTGACTTCTGCACAGACACAAATAAGGTGTCGGGGAGGCAGATTGACTGATGTTGGGGAAGTCCTGTGCATTTGTCAATAAAGCATTGTCTGGCCAATAGGGAATCTAGATAGGAGGGACTAGGAGTCCAGAAGGATTCTGGGATGGAGAAACACAAGAGAGTTCGAGATGTAACCGCCATGGGGTAGGAAGCCCGGAACTACTCTCCGGTAAGAGAAATACTTAGATTAACAATTATGGGGTAATTACTTAAGTCAGAGCTAGCTAGTAAGAAACAAGCAAAGCCAACAGCTTCATAATGAATATAGCTTCCTGTGTGTTTATTTGAGACTGATGCGGCTCTGGAACCAGGTTGGCGGGAAGGCTTCTCTCAAGGAAAAAGCTTCTCTTTACAACTGAAGTTAGTTATTCATCTTAATCCCCCTTCCTTTTTCCATGCTACCCAGTCTTGTAGGGGTTAGTCTCAAGTGAAGTAAGGAAAGCCTTGGAGAGATGGATCTGATCACAGAAAAAATGCAAAAGGACTCACATTAGTATAAGGGATTGTGTCATATTCTGTACTCTCTTCCAAGTGGGGGCAGAAGTTGGGCTTTTCATGGTGATTGTCCACTCTCTCTGTGTCTTCCTTGGATCCTGAAAACAGGTTGAGAGACTCAAAGCTTGCCTCTCTTACTACTCACCATCTCCCCTGCCCCAACAAACCTGGATGGTCTACTCAGGGAGACCAACTGACCATCCTAGTCAGTCTGAAATGGAAACTTTCTAGGATAGGGAACTTTCAGGGTTTAAATGGAGACAATCCTGATAAACCAGGATGAATTAGTCTCTCTGTCACTCCATTTCCCAATCTCCAAATCAAGGTGGCCAAACTGGAAAGTAGAGGAGGTCAGGAATGTTTCCAGAATGCCTCTGACAAAGAGAAAGACTATCTCAAATTTTGTATTCATGCCCTACTATTGCTGCAAATTTTCCTCCACAGCCTACTCTTGCCCCCACCATGGATAGCACTGGTAGGGAGGGGGGAGACAAATGAGGGCTTGGGGACACAGTGTGGCTTACACTGTGGAGAGACAGAGAAAGGCTTATATAAGAGGAACAAGTCTAGCAACATTATTTGTAATAGCCAATATTCTAAATGCCCCTTAATTGAAGAATGGATAAAGAAAATGTGGTATATTTACACAATGGAGTAAGTACTACTCAGTGGTAAGAAATAATGACATCCTAAAATTTGGAGGCAAATGGGCAGAACTAGAAAAAACCATTCTAAGTGAGGAAACCCAAAACCAGAAAGACAAATACAGTATGTGCTCACTCATAAGTGGATACCAGAAATAAAGCAAAAGATGCCCAGCCTACAATCCATAGCCCCAGAGAAGCTTGAACTCTCTTCCAGAAACAGATGGAAGCAGATGCAGAAATACACAACTAATAAATAGGCCAAGTTCCTGGAGTACAATCAAAGTGAGGGAGGAGTGAAAATATGAGTAAAGGAGTCAAGACTATGATGGGGAAACCTACAGAATCAGCTGACCCTAGCTAGTGAGAGATCACTGACTCAGGTCTGACAAATGGGGAACCTGCAAAAGACTGAACTAGACTCCCTTAATATAGATGACAATGGTGTGGCTCGGACAATATATGAGGCCACTGGAAGTGGGTCCAAGACCTAACACTAATGTACAAACTGACTTAGTAGAGCCCATTATATAGAAAGAGATACCTTACTCAGCCTAGACACAGGGGTATGGGGGTGGAGAGGTGCCTTGGTTCTGCTCAACCAGATGATGGGACAGACTTAGTAGAATTCCTATGGGAGGCCTTACCTTCCCCATGAAGCACATAGGAGGAGGGGGGAGTAGAGGGAGTGGGAGGAAAGGAGGGAGGGGGAACTGGGATTGGAATGTAAAAAACAAATTAATAAAAAAGAATCAATAATAAAAAAGAGGAGTATGTCTAGTCTGAGGTGAAGAGGAAAGAGGAATCTTGATGCTGATTGAGTAGAGGAGATAGGCAGGCTGGAGGCCCTGACAGGGATGAGGATAAGGAGGGCAGGGAGACCATTGTCTGTTGGGCAGGAACAGAATAAGCAATGTGTGACCTGTGTCATCAGAAGGGCCACATCCTTCTGAAGGAAGAACAGGAGTAGGCACCAGAGAGGGACCATGTCCTCAGGAGAGAAGGCAAGTAATACTCTCTCTAGTTTAGAGTTAAGGCATACAGCTGCCTGTGCACTTCTCTTTGTGTATGTATACATATGTGTGTCTATAGTCATGTGTGAATAGGTACAGGTGTGTGTGCACGTGAGAGCATGTGCATGTGTGGGAAGGGGAGAGGTCAACTTTGGGTGTTTTCCTCAGGTGTTGTCTACCTTGTTTTATGAGACAGGGTCTCTTGTTGTAGACTAGGATAGCAGGCAAGTGTAAGCCCCAGGGATCCACTGTCTCCCCCTCCCCAGCGCTGGGATTGCAGGTGCCTGCTGCCATATCTGGATTCTTTTTTAAAATGTGGGTTCTGGGGTTTGAACTCAGGTCCTCACACTTGTATGGCAATCACTTCACTGAATGAGCTCTCTCTAGCCATTGACTATAAACTTCTTAAGGGAAGAGACCATGACCTCTTACATCTTTAACAATAAATCTTGCACACAGATTGATGTATCACATGAGGAATAAAAAGTAAAAACAATATGAAGTAAAACACACACACACACACACACATGCTTTACCTTTTCCTTTCTCTGTCCACATAGCAAAGAGAATAATCACCAGCAGGACACCGAGCCCGATGGCCACTGGTATGGTGTATAGGATGAACCTGGATGAACTTAGGTTGTTGGCAGTATCTTTAAAGAGAAAACGAGGAGAGGCATGAGGAGCGTGGATGTGTGGTGGAGTCAGCTAGGGAAAAGGACCTAAGTTCCACTTTCCTCCCAGCCTGCTGCTCTCCCAGAGACCTCTCTCTAGTTGACACAGATCCTGTTTTCAAAGGGACTGGGAGCTAGAGAAGATATATTTCTCCAACCAGAGGCTCCCGAGAAGAGGAGACTGTCACCTTCACAAAGATTCCGGGCAAGGACGGGGTCCGAGGAACTGTGGCTTATGGGATTCCTGGCTATGCAAATTAAGGTCTTGTCTTTGTCTCCCAATTTCCAAAAGATGGGGAGGATGGCACCATGATGAAACTCATTGACTCCCTGCCCTATGGCTCTCCAGCTGTAAGTCACATTGTCTCTTCCTTCTTCCATGGAGCATGTCAGTTTGGTCATGCAGGTGCCATTCTTGTCTTGCCCATCCATGGTGACTTTTGGTGTTGACAGACTCTCTGTAAAAGACATAGCACAACAGAGGAGGGAAGTTAGTCCTGAGCTCAGCTTTCTCTGAGTTATCCTTCCTTACCTTGGACCCGAATCTCCCTTGGGTAAGGAAGCAACTGTTCAGAGCAGAATATCTTATTCTTAAGTCTGCTTAGCCCTGGTTATATAGCAAGGATACCAATAGCAGCGATTACAGCAGAAATAATCATGCAGCAACAATGTAGAGACATTCACTAAGCCTAGCTGCAGAGCAGGCACTGTGCTTACTTGCATTTTAGATGCTACTAATCTTTAGACAGGCTTCCTATTGCTTGTCCTCAAACTTCCTTGAACACACTTTCCTTTCTCCTCTCCAGGAGAAAATAATACTGCAGTAACACTTCTCGATACCTTGTGCCCAGTCCTTTACGTTTATAGGATCAGCAAATGGTTAATTGGTGAGATGGTGAGAGTCTGGCATTTGTTATCTATCCTAGAGCTTGGTCCTTTAAATATTTCTGTTCAAATACCCTTTTCCTCTTCATCCTTCCCCCAGATAGACTGTCTGAAGATTATCTAATTTTTGTTTCCTTCTACAGAGTCTCTATGGAACATAAGACTGGATCAAGGAGCATTGACTACCTCATTCCATCTCCTGGTTTCTCTGATACTGTAGTTGAGTGCACAAGACAAGTAACTCTTCTGGTAGAGAGCTAAGTGATTGTTTTGCAAATTTAACTTCATCGAGTGGTTTCTCTTTCCTCCTTACCTTGCTACCTTTCTGTTGCCTTTCAAACTTGAGCCCAAGCAATTCTCCTGCCCCAACCTCCAAAGCAGCTACAACTACATGCATGAATGCAGCTGGATGTTATCTTTGTTCTGATTTTTGGGTCTATTTCTCAGTTGCTTAGAGTTTGTAGGGGAAGGAATGTAATTAATTTGTATCTAATGGCACTATTGTCCTCCTTACATACATGGAGGCCATACATATAGCAAGTAGCTAACCTTTGACTTCAGTCTGTGTGATAGCCAGTTTTTTGTTCATTTTTGTTTTGTTTTTGAGGCAGGGATTTTCTGTGTAGCTATGGCTGTCCTAAAACACACTCTGTAGAATAGGCTGTTCTGGAACTCAGAGACCTGCCTGCCTCTGCCTCCCAAATTCTGGTACTAAAGACACACTACACCACTGACAGTCACTTCTTAGGTTGCCCATTATCTACGCTGCATAGCCTCTTATAGAATCTCAAAGTTGGTCAGTCAGCTCCTTGATCCTTGTGTGGTTACCCAAACTTGACTTGAACATTCACTGTATGAGGATGCTCACTACATCCATATGCCTGCCATCCACCATTATAACTGAGCCTGCTTACCATAGACGCACAGCACGAACTCCTGGGAGAAGGGAGACTGAAGTGATGTATTGTGAATCTCTGCACGGTAGACACCCGAGTCATTCTTCTTCAAGTGGCTGAGTTTCATAGAGTGGATTCCATCTGGGAAGACTATTCTTTTTTTGTTATGATTTTGGAGCACTTTGAAATGGTCTCTAGTTACGATGGCAACAGAGACTGTATTGAAGGTCCATATAACAGTGTCAACCTGGTTTTCTGTGGAATTCAGAGTGAAGGTCACAGATCCACCATGGGCACCAACCACATCCTTTAGGGCTCCAGAAGTTGCTGTCACTGCAGACACAGAAGACCATAATGTAAGCTCTTGCCATAAATTACCACATCTTTTGGGTCCTTGAAAGACCCTGAGAAATATCTCCAAGTTCAATACAAGCAGAACTCTATCGCCCACAAAAGCATTGAGATTAGAACCTTCTGTCTGCAAAGTCATCTGCTGTCACCACACCACATTCTCAGAGACTCCCATCTCTATGGTAAACTTGAAAGCCCAGCTCCATCCTCAACAGGTTCCTCTGTGGGGGCAACTAAGGAAGTTTCTATCTAAGTCTCTTAGGAAGGCCAGATTACCTCAGAGATAGTTCAACATGAAGTTGATGAGCTAGGCTGCCCAAGCCAGGGTCAGTGGTTCACAAGCACAAATCAGCGCAATGGAAAGGAGAGCTGTGTGTTTGTAGTGATAGCAATAGCTGACATGTATAAGGATGACCTCTCTTCCTAGTTTACGATATATTAGTAGACTCAAGGTCATCCCCACAAAAAGTTTTCATCTGCTTGCATAACATGTTTGTGTGGGAAGAAGGCAAAGGGTGAGTCTGAGTGTTGGGGAGCAATGCTCACTTCACATGCTAGAAATAGCAGTAGGGTTTTCATTCCACAAGAATTTTGTGTGTTTGTTTGATACAGTCTTAGCTCACCCTGTAGAGCATGACTCTGAAGCAGTCATCACTGGTAATGTGACTCCATATGAGAGAATGACTCTTGGTGGAACTTCCAGAAGTGGCCAACTAAGAATTTCCAGTGATGGTGACTGTGATTGTCTGTAAAAGTCTAAGGGACAAAAGCTGGGACTAGCAAAGGGTACTGAGGCATCTGGATTGGGACCAAAAATTTAAAGCATTTACTATAGACTTCTTTAGCTGTTAAAGTTCTCAGAAGGGGACTTTTTATGCTTTGGTCACACAGAGCAGGATCTACTCCATTAGGTCTACATGTCTGGGGGGCCTTCAAAAGCACTGGCTTCTCCTCCATTTCCAGCCAGTGCACGCATACTTTGGATCTCTCCAATCTTGTCAAATTATCTAGTTAAATAATATGAGTTTTCGAAAACCCCCTACTCCCATAATACAAAGGCTAGAATGGTTTTAGACTGTCTTCATTTTTAATTATCTCAAAAGATGTAAAAATAGTGCCAGTAAAGGTTACAGACAAAAATCCAAATTACTCTGATTATTTTGACCAATTGATGCATTCATTCCTTCTTTTCCATGACAGACACAGGAATCACTTTGAAATCAGGTAAAAACTGGATGTCACTTGTCCCCAGAGTGGGTCCAAGTCCAGGAGCTTCAAGTAATTTCACTTTTATAGTAGTTTTGGGGGAGATGTATTAGTCCCTTTAATGGTATGTATCAGTCCTTTTACAAAGTAATAACAAAATGCTTGAAGCTGGACACTTTATAAAGAAAAGATTTATTTAATTTACAGTTTGGGAGGCTGCAAATCTGACAATGTGAAGCCTTTGATGAAGATTCTCTTGGTTGGGTCACAAGGTGACTGAGAACCAGAAAGAAGGCAGAAGAGGCCAAGGACAGATTGGCTTCACTACAACACATCTGCTCTCAGGACAGTGAACTTACTCCAAGAAAGTGGGAGTAATTCTTTCTCAGCATGGTACCCTTGTCACCCTCTGCTAGGCCTGTCTTAGGGAATTTCTCATCTCAACTCACCACAGTGGGGGCCAGGCTTTAGCGTCAAACTTATGGGTATGACAGGCCACATATGAAGTGCTGAAGGGACCACACTGAGAGTATGACTTTAGTGTGTCAGCACGTGTGACGTGTAAGCAGGAGGAAGGCCTCTCTTCACTCCCACACAGTAGGTTTCTATTTTCTCGGGGTAAATGTTGCCAGATTAAGTAATGTGGGGCAAGTGTGAGGACATCTGAGATTCAGTGCCCCTTGTTAGGGTGAAAGTGGGGTCACATGGGGCAAAGTGCTCCATTTATAGCCACCCTCAATTCTCTTTCTCCCCTTCCTCTTCTGATTTCTCTTCCCCTTTTTCTTCTTATGAATCTGGCTTCAGACTTCCTATGTAATTAAGCAACCAAGAATTGCCATGAACTCTTTTTTTTCAATTAAAAATATATTTTTTTAGATTTTTAAATTTGATTTTATATGTATGAGCATTTTGTCTGCGTGTGTGTGTGTGTGTCTGTGTGTGTGTCTGTGTGTGTCTGTGTGTGTGTGTGTGTGTGTGTACCATCTGCATGCCTGGTGCCTGCCAAAGAAGGAGGAGGGCATTAGATACCCTGGAACTGGAGTTACAAATGTTTGTGAGCCACCATGTGGGTGTTGGGAATCAAACCCAAGTTCTCTTAACCCCTGAGCCATCTCCTCAGCCCCCACAGTCTTGAATTCTTGCCTCCACCCCTGAAGTGCCACCCTACCCAGACTACTGTTCTATTTTAAGAATATCTTGAGGAGGAAAAGAAAGTTAACTGAAAAAAAGCTCTCTGCCATTTCCTAAATAATGGGTTAAGGAACAAAAAGCAGTGTTGGTAAATTCTAGTGGGTTTACTTTTATTATCCCAGTGACTGGAAATGGGATCTAGAAACCAGAGACATTAGCAAATTGTTCAAAGCGAAACGTTGTAGTGTTCTGTCTTTACCACCTCCAGGTATGACTCTGCAGTTTGCTCTTATTTAAGCATGTCATGTTTGCTATGTTGGGCCTTTTTAAAGATGGTCATAATCCTTACACTTAGGAAGTTGCGAGAAATCAACAATTAAGCAACTACGTGCTATGAGAAGGGAACTAGCGGGTTCTGTGAGGAGTCCATGGGAGGGCTTACCCTGACCTGTGGAAACACAGGAATCTAGAGTCTGGACTCACAAGCCTGCCCAGCCTTTTGACAAAGCACCACGACAATCATCTGAAAAATCTGTCCCTGAGAATTGCATAGTTGAGTCACTAGAAACATCACATAATGTTTTAAGTATGTTTCCAATTTTGTCCTGGTTTTCTTGGGTTAAAATGTAGCCCACAGGCTATAGGTTGGACGTGTTTGCTGGAGTATGCATGACTACCAATTCCTTTCTGAGTCCTGTGGGGCTCACCCACTTTCCTCAGATGCCACGTTTCCAGCAGGGAATGGTATAGCTTGCTTCCTCTGTGTCCACTTCACCTCGCATTTCATAGCAGCCAAGTGGATTGGGTAAGTCTATAGAACTCAGCTAAGTGATATTCTCCTATGGCACAGTGATGTCCTTAGAGTTGTCACATGACCTGAGAGAAGCCCGGGGCTTTAGCTCTAAAGTCAAGATAATGATATAAGGCTGTGGAAAATACAGAAAAAACAAAACCCACCTGTTGTCACTGGATAAGCATCCAGGTCTCTTCTCTTTCCTGATCCTCTGTGTGTGTGTGTGTGTGTGTGTGTGTGTGTGTGTGTGCGCGCGCACGCGCGCGTGCGCACGTGTGTACGTGTGTGCATCATTATGTGTATAAGGGGGGGCACATGCCATGGTGTGCTACGTGGAAATCAGAGAACAACTATGCAGTCAGACCTCTCCTTTCTGGGGTTCAAACTCAGATAGACAGACTTGCATGGCAAAGTGCCCTTACCTGCCAGACCATCTTGTTGGCCCCATGGTTCAGTTTTGATTTTACACTATTTTTGTGCTTCAGCTTCTATGTCTATCTGAAATGAATCTTATTCAAAACCTTGTTCAAAGACATACCTCTGGAATACCTCGACATGTGTATTCCTTTATTTTAACTTTAACTTTTCAAGAAAGAAAAATCCCTGCTTGGTGGTGACTGGACATGTCTCTTTTTTGTGTGTGAATTAGTCAACGACTAGTCTACAAGCATTATGCCCCAGATTACTCTGTGCCACAGAAGGATATGGTGGCCTCTCTTCCTACCAGGATGCTGCAGGGTGAAAAAGGACTCTGTCTTCAGTGGGAGTCAGGGGACCCAGGACCCACTCTGGCTCCTCCCCGTCATAATTCCAGAAACAAACAGTGTCTGTAAGTCAGTCTGGTGGTCTTACCTTTGCTGGTCTTCAGAACAAGCCCAGGGGACAAGAGTTAACGCATCCCAGTTTATAAGTGAGGGTACTAGGGCTCAGCGATTCTTCCAAGACCACAAAAATGGCAGGGGTGTAGCTTGGTGGTAGCCATCTTGGTGGACGCACATGAGGCCCAAGTTTGAATCCCAGTTTGAGAGAGAGGGAGGGGCAGATCTCTCAGAGGCCTGCATTTTGGTTTTCTTTTTAATTTACCATTTTGAGTTTCAGTTCTACCTTACAGGAAGAAAAACACCTTCAAGTCCTAGGAATCTGGGGAAGTTCAGGAGTGAATGCGGATCTGAAAGAAATGGCTTTGACCGATGCAGACAGCCTGACAGGGTAGTGGTGCAGCCAAGGACAGGAGGCCTCTGAGAAGGCTTCCCAGTTTTCAAGTTTCACTTCTGGAACATGGGAGAAAACAGTTCGAAGAGCTCAGCAGTCACTTTGGAGTTCAGGCACCACTGCGCATTTCCCAGGCAGCCTGCCTGCAGCGGACCAGGAGACCTCCGCCTTCTGCCTATCTCTCTTTGGTGTCAGAAGCACCATCATTTCTGAGATACACTTCAGAGCAGAATGAGACAACGTCTCCTCCCTCTTGTCAGTGCCCTTTCTTCTTTTCACTTCTCCCTCCTGTTATGCTCCCCCCAAAGGCCGAAAGTTGAGTTGAAGGTAGGAATATGAAGCCGCAAGATACAGCTTACCACCCCGGGAGGGCAAGCCAGGAGGAAAATGTTACAGTGGGAGCTTCACCCCAGCCCACGGCATCCATGTACCCAAAGAGTCTGGGGTGTTATGGTGGAGGTTCCACCCAAGCCCCCTCCCCTCTCTCTCCAAACCCTGCTGCATCTCAGAAAGCCCACCAAATGATGACCCCTCCCCCAAAGATGCTCAAGACTGCTCACACGGGGTATTTAAATGGCCTCCCAGAAAATGGATTCCTGGTTTTCCGGTATCTTTTCCCCCTGTTTCCTCTCTGGAGGACTGGAAAGCCCCATTTGCACCAAAGCCCATCACCACTCTGCTCTTGTTTCCCACTCCTCTCTCTGTTTCTTCTGCTTCCTGGCAGCGGTACTCCATACCCCTCACTCGTCTTCGTTTTCCCTAAAACCATTGTTTGACTTGGTCATTGCAAAACACTCAGAGGAATAGACTGCCGTCGCCCTGGCCCCCTTATTCTGATGAAAACATCAAGGCTTCGAGAACTAGCCTTGTGGCTCCTGTCGAATTGTCCAGAGTGTCATCCTATTGGTGTAGCCAAGCCCCCACAATAGTGCTACGTGTTTGTTGAGGGTTGTTCCAGTCCATATCTTGGACTCCTGTACCTGGAGAAGAAAGAAATCCCATCTGGCTCTTGCTGTGGGAGACTCAGTTCAAATTCATTTTTACTGAACACCTTTCCAGTGTCAGGTGTCATGTAAGTTATTGTTTGGTGTGCTGGAGACAGAGCCAGCTGTGGAAACTCAGCCCAGGCTTGTAATCACTGTGTGATCTTGTCTATAAAACTTGATCTCTCTCAGTCTAAACTTCCTTATCTTTAAATTCCTGTCTTATAGATTTGTAAAGAGATGGTACAAAAAGTACAGACAGCTATGAAAGTTCCTAGAGAGAGAGAGAGAGAGAGAGAGAGAGAGAGAGAGAGAGAGAGAGAGAGAGAGAGAGAGCATGCCCTCTCTCTCCATTTGTCAGAGAACACTGAGTATGGTAAAATTGGGAACTCCAATGACAACTATTATTTAATTAATTTACTTTTGCTATATCATTTTAAAACATCATGGTAATTCTACAAGTTGATTTATTATTCACAGAAAAGCAAAGTTCAAAGTACTGAGATGCTCGTTCACAGCAATCCAGTGCAAAGTTAAACTAGGAAACTTGTATCCAGGGTCTGTCCTGCTTCCACTGCTCTGCCTCTTGGACATTCTAAGACAGCCTCCAACTCTTTTCAGCTATGGGAGATGTAATGCCAGACTTCCCACAGCCTACTGTCGTAGAGTAGCAGGGACTCAGGTCACAAACCCAACATGCTACATACTACACACTTCTCCCAGGTGAGCACCTGGCCTTTTTGAAGCTCTGGCATGCCCTCCCCCATCTCCTCTTCAAATTCTAATTCTGATCACCATTTCCGTTCAGGTAGTAATTTTAGGAACAAGAGTGTTTTAGGGCAACCTACTTAGGGCCAGGTGCTTCCTAGCAATGCGAGCTTTGATGAGTTCAAGGATGTGTGACAGTCTGTAGAGTCACTTAGTATGGTTTGGTATGAGGAGGAAAGAATTGAAAATGCTGTGTGATTTGGGAGCAAGTTAATTCAGGTAGGTTTATTGTGTACAGTTATGACAGCTATGCAAGTCCCTCAGAGAGAGAGAAAGAGAGCACATGTGAGAGAGAGAGAGAGAGAGAGAGAGAGAGAGAGAGAGAGAGAGAGAGAGAGAGAGAGAGCACCCTTATGGTGGTACCCCATGTGTCAGAGAACAATGAGTATAGTAAAATCTTTCATTACCATCATGCCAATGACAGTGCCATAAAGGTCCCCAGTCCTTCACAGGAGTGAACATAGAGTACCTATAATTAGTTAGGTTTTTTTTGAGACAGGGTTTCTGTGTATTGTTTTGGAGGCTGTCCTAGAACTCGCTCTGTAGACCAGGCTGGCCTCGAACTCACAGAAATCCACCTGTCTCTGCCTCCTGAGTGCTAGGATTAAAGGTGTGCACCACCAACACCAAGCCAATTAGCTGGTTTTTTAAGTAGAGGCAGACTGGATTGCTTGGGTTACGAGAAAATAAATTCAAATGGTTGTTTCCATTTATCTCATTCTTATGTGTCATCATTACATCTATTTAGAAACATATTAATTAAAATGTTTACGAATAAATCCATAGCTGTATAAGTTTACTTCTGAAGTTGTTCCCAAAAGGAGGGAAGGCTAAAAGAGGGAGACCCTGAAGCCCAGGGTAGCAATGACATTCTCCATTTAAGTCACGACAGATCTGAATCAGGTCTCTAAAACCCAGCCTCTGTTCATTCAGTCTCTCCTTCCCAGTCAGAAGGGACTTAGTTCCAACAGTTGTCTCTTTTCTTCTCCTTCCAGATGTCAGGGGTTAATTAAAAAGCAGTATTAAATGAGGCGGAGGCTCCGGAGTGGACCAGGAAGCATGGGATTGCAGCTGGGGATGAGGAGGTCAGGAGAAGCGGAAAAGATAGGGTTAGACTCACCTGGGAGCTGACAGAGGACAGAGGTAAAGACGATGATGAGTGCGGAGAAACCAGCCATGCTGTTCTCAGGTTGTCAGTCAGTCACAGGATGCTCCATCTAACACGTTCTAGTCCTCAGCTGTGACTTAAGTTAGGTAGGAGGAGTCATGTTAGACTATGTCATCTTACCTTCTGTCACAGCAATAGGATTTCCAGAAGGGAAGAAAAAAAAAAACCGAAACAATCGTCAAGGCTCTTATTTTCTATTACAGAAAAGCAATCACACGCTTTGTAGGAAATTTTAAAATAGAAATGGTTTGCCTTTTTTATTTTGCCGGCTACTGCTTTTTGAGGAGTTCTTTTTTTCCCTTTCTTTTTATTTATTCTTTGTGTCTTTCAAGTCATGCAGCTCCATCCATCCATTTCCCCATCCCTTTATATCCATCCTCTGCTATTGCAACCCCCCCAAATAAAATAGAATTCGAGAGAAAAACGAAAAAGAAAGAGAAGGAAAAAGTCAACCTCGTCATGGAAGCTGCAGTGTGAGTCACACGGCAGACCCCTTTTCCACACATCTTCACTTGCAAGTGTTCATTGGTCTGGTTTCCGTTACCCTCATCGATGCTGGGCACTCACTGGAACTCCTCTTGGTTATCCTGCTGTTGCCCTGTGGAGATCCGGTCCCTTCACGTGCTCCGTCCGATCACACATGTTACCCGTTTCGTCTAAGACTCAGAAACAGGAAATAGGTTAGATGTGGGCAGGGAGGGCAAGCGTTTCTAAATGCTAGTTGCTGTGCTGAGAGTACATGTTGTCTTATTTATTCTTCCCATAAACCCTACGAAGGAAATCCTACTATGCAGCCTGTTTTATAGTTGAGAAATTGTAGCTTAAGACTTAGGACAACAATATCAAAGACTTCTTTTGGATCTGGAGAGATGGCTTAGTGATTAACAGCACTTGTTACTATTCCAGAGGACCGGAGTTCTGATCCCAGATCTGGCACTGCCTGTGGCCTCAGAGAGCACTTGCTCACATACAGAGACATACACATATGCATAAATAACAATAAAAATAAATCTGAAGAAAGGTATTTTAACCAAAAGAAACTACTATGAGAACAAAAGGACAAGTCACAAGAGTGGGAGGATATATTTGCAACGCTTATAAGCATGAGAGATATAAAATAGATATATAAAGAAGTCATCAACATAAATAAAAATTAGAAAGATAAACCAGAAGTGGTGGTACATGACATTAATCTCAGTACTTGGGAGGCAGAGACAGGGGGATCTCTGTGAATCTGAGGCCAACCAGGGCTACACAGTTAAGACACTGTCTCAGAAAAAGCTTAGCACAATAACTCAGTAGTCAAGAAATTCAAATACTTCATTAAAAGTGTGTCCAAAGGGTTTGTGAAGAGAAAATACAAAGGAGATAATGCCAATTAAGTGCCTAAAAGTTCAACAGTGGCATTACTAAAAATAAATTACAAAAAATCTAATATAATTTATATAAAAGGAAAAATGGTAAAAAAAAGAATAATCAAGCGGTGAAAAACAGACCTAAACCCAACTACATGAATAGTTATATTAAGTATAATAGACAAAAACTTAAAGGGGAGATGACAGAAAGACGGGTGCAATGGAGGGATGGGTGGAGACTGCACAGTGAGTCTCCTTTAAAGATAGCAGGTAGGAGTGACGCTGGACATAGTTTCCTCCAGACGGCAGGAGGAAACCCGAGAGCAGAGCCGTGAAGGGCCGAGCGAGGGGAATGCTGAAACGAAGGATGTAAGCCGGATCCAGGTGTCCTAGAATGTGAGCTTTGCTCACTCCCATCCCTCGCCTCGCAGCGTCTGAGGGCCTGGCCATGGCACTGAGACACACACGGCCAGGTTTCAGTCACCTGCTTTCACGGACACTCTCCCTCTTTCTCATCATTCAGCAAACTCCATAACCCCTCACCTGCTCGGCCTTCCTCACAGCACTGAGCTAGGGTGTCTTTGTTTTTCATACTTTGTGTTTTGTATTGGGGCTGGACCATTCAAGTTGGGTTACTGGTTGAATTATTTTTTTAAATAAGACATTTCTTTTAACAGAAATATTCAAAATGTTAAGAGTTACAGGTTTCTAAGAAGGTTGGCGTGGGAATTTTTTCTCTGCTTGGTTGGTGTTTGGGGCACCAGGCTAGGCCCTAGTACTCCCCTGAAAGTAGACACTATCTGAAAAAAAATGACTACCATCAAAGTGAAAGCCCACCAAGAGCATATGGTAATAGCCAAGTAACAAATGGTCACCCATTAATATCCACTCCCTGTAAGAAGGAAATGAATATTAATAGAACAGATCACTAAGATATTAGGTCCTGTGGATATGCGTAGAAGGGAAAACGTAGAGTTACTTGTGATTCGTATTGGGTTGCAGGGGCAGGGCGGGGGTGGGGGGACGGGAAGGAGGGAAAAACTAAATAGAATGAGGGAACAATACGGGCTCAGGGGTCAGGGTGGGAATGAGGCAGTTTTGGCTAAAGGTAGAATGAAAAGAGAAAGGTAAGGAAATGCAACCCAATAACCAAGAAGAGTTCCAGGTCTTAGGAGTCTGGGCCACAGAGGCCCTGTAAAGTAGGCCAGCCTGTGTTCTTTGGGAAAGCCTGTGAAACTAAGAATTAAAGGACAGAGAAAGGAGGGTGGTGCGAGAGCCAGAGGAGAAGTAGCAGTGAGAACAAGAGAGAGCTCAGAGCAGGGCAGATCAGGCCTCCAGCATAGATGCCAGGTATTAGTGAAGGAGAAATTCACGGGAAGGGAAGCATGGCGTGGGTATGTGTGTGCATGTGAATGGGGTCCTCACTTCCAGTCTCAACTTTCTTGGTGTTCCTTCCTGGAGTCCCAAATACCTGTTACACCCTGAATGGTTCTTTGTGAGGCTGGGCCAGAGATGATGGCCTCATCTGTGGGAAGTGCCCTGGAAGATCCTTTCTGATGTTTTCTGAGCAATTTGGATCATTGTTCCCCATTTCCACCTTCCTGATATGGTCAGGGCTCTGTTTTAAGGTTTCTTCCCCACAATTTATGGTGTTCTACTTACCAGACTTTTGCATACAGTTAGGGAATGCTTGCTTCTGTTTCCTGGAAATGAACTTCACAGCCAGTCTGGGACTCCCAAGCTGCTGACTTTTGGAGACGGTGTCTCACCGTTGCTCTCATCGAGAGTTTTCCTGGCATCTCTTCTATCTATGTCACCCTAGAGCACACCTTTTCTCTCCCTTCTGTTTTTCTTTTTAATATCTCTGTTACAAGTGCGAAATGAAAGAAGATGCAGGGAGGCTGGGGTTGAAATGGTCTAAGTGGGGGTGGGTGGCGTGGGTGGAAGGGAATGGTGGATGGGTAAAAGAAGCAAAAATAAAGATTGAGAACTTACCATTTCATAAGCTTATTTAAAATTTAATAATTGCAACTAGAGCCCAGATACCTTGTATGAGTGAACAGTACTCCCATCAGAAGCCATAGGTTATTAAATGAAAATCCCAATGTCAGGTTAAGACAACTCCTTACCAATGGTTGGTCAAGGAGCCCAGGCTTTCACCACTGCTCTTGGTTACCCACCAGAATTTGATGGTAAGAACCCTATTGCTAAGGACATCAGCCACATACTTTGAACCCAGGGCATAGAGATACCAAGCTGGGACTTAACTGGAAGCCTCCTCTCTGCTAGCTAGCTTTCACAGTTCTAGAAGGTGCTATTGCAGGCTACTGGTGGAGAAGAGCCTCTAACAGTCTTACCTAACTTTGAAACTTGCAAACTTTAACACTGACCTACCTGAAAAGATGTACCCATTGGCACAACAGTGGCACGGTTATGATGGGAATAGCCAGGTACTTCCTGCTTGGATGTGGGGGGCCTGTTTTGTGGGAAGGAACCCCTGCTTGATACTGTATATTAGTCAAGAACTGTGGGCTAGGCAATTCATAGGCCTTCAAGGGGAACCCGCCACTATTGTTACGTTAAATGGGCAGATGTTAAACTGCCTTCCAAACACTCAGGTTTACACCCACGGATGGGTGCTGCCTTCAGCCTTGGCCAGAGATGCTCTTAGAGCTGTAGTCCCTGGTTAGTGCAGAGACTCATAACTGGTCCAAGAACAAATGATGGTGGAGTGCCCAGCTTTAAACAAGATATCTACACCACTCCCACTCCCGGGGTTCAGGAAACATTGTGGAGGAAGGGGTGGAAAAAGTGTAAGAACTGGAAAAGAAGTGTGCTGTGACATGGCATCTGGTCACCACGCTGGCCTCGTGCCAGTGACTTCACTGTGGCTACCTGCACCGGCTCTGCCAAGCTTGGGCCTTCAGCACCTCATCTTGAATAGGGGCGATGCTCACGGAGCCTCACCCTCCCCAAGGGACTATTTGCGGTTAATGGTTGCTGGGGGAAGGAGTGTCGTTTCTTTAGCGGTATAACCACTTGCGAATAGCCGGTGCTCTAACAACTTCCCACCAGTGCTCACGCAGGTAACCCTAACTAAGTTCAGCCGATCACACATGCCAAGAGATGTGAAAGTAACAGTGTGACTTCGCAGGAAGAATAGTTTCAATAAGATGAGCACGGGCGAGAGGATGATAGGTGTGAAAATGACTAAAAGTCACCATACTTGTGATGAAACTGCCAACGAATAATTTTTTAAGAAAACAAAGGGGGTGAAAAACAGCAAAAATGCCCGTTACTGAGAGTATAGCACAGGCTTTCTGAGGCTCTCCCTTGGGTGTGGCTTCGGTCACTCTCTCTCACTGAGGGCTGGAGCTCCACAAATCCACCAATCCATTTGGAACAGAGTGAACTTTCCTCCGCTCTACTTTTATCATTTTCTGTTTTACTTTGCTATCAAATTGGAGATTTTTTTATTCTTACCAGGCTCTTCTGATGACTTTAATCAACTTTACTCAGCTTTGTCCCTGGAGAGTCTTCAGGTCATGGCTGCATGCCATCTATCGTCTTCCAGCTTGGCTCACAGGCTGACACTTATCTGTTAATCTTGACAGTTCAGTTAAGAGGCAGAGACATACTTTTCTAAACACGTCTTATTAGAAAATATTTCACTATTAGCAAAGTCAGGACAAGAACCCACATGCAATCATATCTTACCCTATAATAGACATTATTGAGTACTGCTTGCTTTCACAACACACTGTACAGATGTGGGCAGTAGAAGAAATAATAGTTATTGTAACTTTTTTGCAATTATGATTCCTGAAATTCTCAGCAAGCAGAATGAAGATGTGAGAGAAATTATTCATACAAATTGACCCAGAGGGAGCTTGGGTAATTCATGTCATAGCTTTCCTTGTTACTGTAACTGACCAGACCAAGATTTTTTGTACAGTATAGAGAGAATTATGAAAGGGAAAGAGGCCCAGGTGGAGTCAGATGAGATCACTGAAAAGTCCTGAGGTGCCCCTTCAAGGTCTGCTTGGAGAGAAATTGAAAAAGAAAGACTAAACTAAGATAAAGGGTAAACTGCCTTTCAAAGCTAAATTCAAACCAGCAGCACTGGCCAGCACTCCTCCTTGTCCATGAGGTCCCATTCTGCTCGTTCTCTTTTATTCTTTGCTGCGAATCTCTCTTATCTGTAAAGAGTGAAATATTTCTAGGTTAAGTCTTAAGCTTAATGATTCCTTTATCTCAACGTCTAAGGCTGTCTTACCTGGACTTTTTATCTAACACCTTTCTTTTTCTTTTTTTTTTTTTTTTTTTTGGTTTTTACGAAACAGGATTTCTCTGTATTGTTTCGAAGGCTATCAGTCCAGCCTGGCCTCAAACGCACAGAGATCCGCTTGCCTCTGCCTCCCGAGTGCTGGGATTAAAGGCGTGCGCCACCACCGCCCGGCTTATCTAACACCTTTCTTGAATTCAAATCTTGTACATGCAGCCTCCTCTCAGCATCTGCCTGGGGAGGTTTAGCACACATCTGAACCTTCCCATGTACCAAATCAACTCTTGCTTTCTCA